GGTCCCTCACTCCCTCTAGGAGTGAGGGACCTGCCGCTGAACTGCCGCCGCCGATCACGGCTTTTTTTTTTTTCAATTGCTGCCACCAATCGCGATCGCGGCTTTTTTTTTGCTTGGGGTGGCAGAAATGCTGGAGCCGGCCCTGTGGCTGATAGCAGGTTGAGTTCTAGCTTTGCTGAAGAGAAGGGATCCAACGACTGATGCAAACTGAGGTGTTTGAACTGAGGAAGATGGAGAGTCACTGTAGTTACGAGGCTCTGGGATTGTGAAATATTGAGGTTTGAGGGCCTTGTCTATGAAAAAACCCATGTCTTTGGAAAATGAGTTTATTCCCCGTGTTATTGCAGCTGTCAGCAACATTCGAATGTGTTGTGATCTCTTTCAGTCAGCCATGACTGTGCGTGACTTAGCTTGAACAATGGCCAAGTCACCCTGAATTCTCTGTGCTCCCGTGACTTGTGCCAGCTACTGGGCTTTCCCTTAAAGGGATCAGGATTGGAGGAAAGGGAATGTAGGTTCCAGTGACATAGGTGCAGGGCTGGGAGCCAGGTTAATCTGATGCCGCTCTCTGGGGCCTTGCGCAAGTTATGGGATAACCCCTCGGCCCCAACTTCCCCATTTATCAGATGAATATGATACCTGCCTGCCTGATAGGGATGCTCTGAGATTAGCTAGATGCAAGAGTGTGTAAGGTGGGCAGAGCAGAGAGTCTCTCTCTTCCTAACAGAATGTTAGGGCCCATTAGGAAAGGGATAGATAATAAGACAGTAAATATCATAATGCCACTATATAAATTCAAGGTACATTCGCTCCTTGAATACTGTGTGCACTTCTGATCATCTCATCTCAAAAAAGACATTGGAATTGGAAAAGGGCAACAAAAATGATTCGGGGTATGGAACAGCTTCTGTATGAGAAGAGATTAAAAAGACTGGGACATTTCAGCTTGGAAAAGAGACGACTAAGGGGGAATATGATAGAGGTCTATAAAATCATGACTGGTGTGGAGAAAGTAAATAAGAAAGTGTTATTTACTCCTTCTCAGAACACAAGAACTAGGGGTCACCAAATGAAATTAATAAGCAGCAGGTTTAAAACAAACAAAAGGAAGTATTTCTTCACACAACGCACAGTCAACCTGTAGAACTCTTTGCCAGAGGATATTATGAAGGCCAAGACTATAACATGGTTTTTAAAAGAACTAGATAAGTTCATGGAGGATAGGTCCATCAATGGCTATTAGCCAGGATGGGCAGGGATGGTGTCCCGAGCCTCTGTTTGCCAGAAGCTGGGAGTGGGTGACAGGGGATTGATCACTTGATGATTGCCAGTTCTAGTTCATTCCCTATGAAGCACCTGGTATTGGCCACTGTCAGAAGACAGGATACTGGAATAGATGGACCATTGGTCTGACCCAGTATGGCCGTTCTTGTATTCATATGTTCTATGTTCTTATGTATTCTAAAAGCCAGCAAGAGGCTCAACTGGGGGAAAGGGCTGCAAGAAGGAGCTTGGCTCTTGTAGCAGGCCTCTGTGAGGGGAAAAGGCCTGCTTGGGTTAGGGGAAATGCTTTGTTTTGTGTTTGAATAATAAAGGAAGCCCTGGACCAGACTTTGATCATGCCATCCATGCTTCCTGGGCTGGAGAGACAGACCAGTCGTCTGCACACACCGTGTTATTTTGAAGTTAAATTTACTGGTTTTAAAAAAGACTTGGGTCTGGGTCTTACTGTTTGTTAAGGTTTCCAGGCTGCTCTACCAATCCGCGCCCATTGCTTGAATCTAGGGTCTTTAGTTCCACAGCACAGATTCCTATTGCTTGTGATAAAGGTAAACCTATTAGCTGAAAGCACAAGTAAGCTGGATCAATCACTAGCAGGGGATGGAGCGCACATTTTGGGCACTATAGCACCATGACCTCACTTGGGCCTGAGCTTGCAGTCATTATTTAGGCAAAAGCCCCCAAGAATTTGCTCTCTAAGGTTGCCACAGGTCCAGGTTTGCCCATGATCATCCCTTTTCTGAGGTAGCTCTCTCAGGAAATCTGTCAGGATGTTCAGTACACACCGACAGCTGGCCAGTGTTATGGGCTCAGGGTCATCCCAGATGTCCTGGGGTTTTTTTGGACCTCAGAGGTGGCAACAGTATTGCTCTCATCGATATCAATGGTAGTTTTGGTGGAATAAGAACATCAGGATGGACTGTCACTTAGGTTCTTCTCTGGGGAAATCCTAAACTCTTTCATCTTGGATTTAGAGTCAATTGTCTATGAGGCATGCTTGAGTCACTGAACTTTTGCATCCATACAATGAAGCAATCTTATTTGCTGGTATAAATAAAAAAGAGAGATCACCGATATTAGGTTAATAAATCCTTTATTTTTTGCAAATAAAATAATAATGAGCACGTATGTTATACTTCACATCTCCAAAGTGCTACACAAGCTGATTAATATTCAAAACCTCCCTTGAGGTAGGCTGGAAGGTGCATGCAAGAAGGAGTAGCCCCCAGGCTTTGATTAATGTCTAGATAGTGGGTATAAACAGGATATATTTTTAGGAAACTTATTTTAATGATCATTTGCAGGAGAGCTTAGAGAAAGGATGAGTTGATCAGAAACATTTCCTCCTGGCAGTAAGACTGTTGCTGGTTTTACTGACCCCCAAAATTATCTTCTTATGCTCTTGGAATCCTATGAGGATAAAAAGCGATGTGTTATTTCACGGAAGTGTAATCTCGAAGGTTCGGATCCACCCTTCTCCTTAAAACCCACCTATCGCCCTTTTTTCTGAATACTTTGGGTCAGATTTCTGCATTTCACCCTGCCACCATTAGATGCCATCTTGGTCTTTGATATGTTGTGCTATCACCATTCTACTAATGGAATTATGCTGATTCACACCACTTTATTCTATGAGAGGATGGGGGCTGTAGCCTATGTCAAGGACCAAGGTAGTGCCTTGTCTTAAATGGTGTCCCTGTTGTTACCCACAGCACTACATGGGGTGCCTTTAACCCTGTTCTTGGGGACCATCTGATCATATTTTTTTTGCCTGCCAGAATGCCTTAAAGTAAATTAACATCATGATCTATGGTTGCTGGAAAAACCCCTAAAGGACCAGCTCCTCCGTTGATATAAATCAGTCACTCCATTGACTGTGATGGCACTACACTATTTACTCCTGAGGATACAGCTAAGGATCTCCTTTAGTAGCTCTTACTCTGATGAAATATGTAAACATATGTCTGCTACAGTGGGAAGATGATGGGCCTGATTCTGCTTCCGCTGAAGCTAGTGGGAGTTTTGCCATTGAATTCAACAGGTCCTAGCTGAACTTCTAATGGACAATAATGGCCCTGAGTGTCAAATAATTAAACAAAACTACCATGAAGCAAATTGCAAGGTGGATAAACTTTTATCTTATCAAATTAAAGCTGATCCCCAAAGGTGCATAGGAAACAACTTAAAGCCACAGGGGAAAGGAATGATTCACTCACCAGGGAAATTCCCAGTACTGTTAGAAATTCATCTTCAAAGAGAAGAGTGAAATAAATATACTGCTGCCTCAACCCATTTCCAAATTCACTCAGACATTCATTCAGCCACCATGTTCTCACACACACACTTCCCTAGCCACACAAACACACACATCTCCAGATTCCCACCTGCCAAAAAACCCAAACACAGACTCCTTAATAGACCAGGTCAAAGCAAACAAACGAAAAATCGGGGAGGAAAATGCAAATGTTTTGTGGACATTGCTCCTTGGTTTTTTTGGAAAACATTTTGAACAGCATGTGAAAAAAAGAGTCGAAATGTACACAACCATTGTTGAAAATGTCAACCTCTTTTCTTACCGAAATTCAAATTATGAATGAAAAAATTCATCCAGTGATGAAACACAATTACACACTCACTCCTTAAACATAAACCCATCCTACACACACAGTCATCTTCCCTCTCCGCACGGCCTCCCTGCATACCAGGTTCACCTCCTAATTAAGGAAATAGGAGCCTATGTTAGTTTGATGGCAGAGTGACAGCTATTTCTGTAAGACTGCTATGCCCTCTAGTGGCTTTCCACAGCTCAGCCGGCCTTTTACCTTGTACAGCATTGCAGCTGTCCACCGTGGCAAGTTCCTGAGACAGAAAAGACTGGGGGACAGTTCAGCAACCGGCAGAAACCTCCTTGGGCTTTACACGCCAGAGTGTCAGCAGGAGGAGGACCCACATCAGCAACACCTGAGTGAAGAAGAGTCTGTTAGCGTCTCAGTTTTCAGTCATAAACATAGGGGAAATATAGGAGTACTTGTGGCACCTTAGAGACTAACAAATTTATTAGAGCATAAGCTTTCGTGGGCTACAACCCACTTCTTCGGATGCATAGGGAAAATATAGGGAGTTATTTCAGCAGGAGAGCCCATTCACAGAGGGATTAGCACAGGTACTCCTCGACAAAGCCACTGTTTCCATTGAATTTATTTTGTCCGCTACAAAACTGCCCTGCAGCGTTCTGTTTTCTAAGGAACCATGAGAGCTGTGTGCACATTCTGCCTGATGCCCCAGGATTAGACCAGACAAAAAGCGTGCAGGTTAATGAGCTGTTGACTGTAGTTCTAAATATGGACGGGTCCTTTGTTCCAGCATAACCCACTCAGTGTAGTGTTCTGGGGATGTCTTCTAATGAAATCTAAAGCTATTAAATATACTGTAAGTGAGAAAGCACAAGTAAGCTGGATCAATCACTAGCAGGGGATGGAGCACACATTTTGGGCACTACAGTGCCCTGACCTCACTTGGGCCCAAGCTTGCAGTCATTATTTAGGCAAAAGTGCCCAAGAATTTGCTCTCTAGGGTTGCCACAGGTCCAGGTTTGCCCAGGATCATCCCTTTTCTGAGGTAGCTGTCTCAGGAAATCTGTCAGGGTGTTCAGTACACACCGACAGCTGGCCAGTGTTATGGGCTCAGGGTCATCCCAGATGTCCTGGGGTTTTTTTGGACCTCAGAGGTGGCAACAGTATTGTTCTCATCAATATCAATGAGCTTGTTACACCCTTGGCTAACAAATGATGCTCTTTTAGCTCTGGCAGCAGAATCTCAGCTGTTAAAATCCAGAGACACCACGTTCAGTCCCTACGGCTGACAACCTATGCACTGTGAGCCTGCTCCTAGACAAGGGGATTGGATCTACACCACTGACTTTGTGCTGTGAATGCTGCTGTGGTTTTATATTCTTTCCCCCAAGTACCAGATTCCAATAATGGCATTACTGGCATCAGCCCGAATACTGATTGTCCAGTACTATAACAATTGCTGTAGAGTATATCCTGAATGGCAACTCAATAGAGTGAGTCAGGAGTTATACCCGTGGGTACCAGGTTAGTTTTAGCTGCAAATAAACAGCTAGCTATAAATACTCCAGAATAAGAAGGACGGTGCTCATGCTCTTTCAGGGATTTCCTTTGCTATGCACCATGAAAGCCTTGTGTAGACTAAGATTTAAAGATGTGATATTAGATCAAGTGCCTCCAATCTAATTAATGCTACAGCTGGGCAGGGAACAGTTTTCCCATCCTGTGAGAATTTTCAAGAGTTTGAAATAGATGTCCTGTTCCAAATCAGGATGAAAAGTCAAAATCTTAAAACTTTTCATGACTTGAAAAGCTAAAAGGAAAACAAAAAGTCAGATCAGGTCAATTGAAACATCTCATTTTGATAATTTTGGAACGTTTCATTGCAATTTTGATCTTTTACTATTTTTTTAAACTATTAATTTTGAAACAAAAATTCATTTGAACCCTGAAAATGAACTTTTTTCTTTTAGAAACTGTCAAAATTCCTGTTTTGACCATTTCAACCCGCTTCCCCCCCACCCACCCCGTTTTTTGTCTAAATGGGAAATTTGTCAAATGTTGTTCAAAATGTTTCCCTGCAAATAGAATTGGTTTTGATGAATTAGCATTTTCAAAAAGAGAGAGGTTTTGTTGAAAATTTCTTGACTAGCTCTAACTGATACCTTCTTGCTTTAAAAATTTCAAGTGATGGAAAATCCATCACATCCACTGATAATCTGTCCCAGGAGTTAGTTACTGTCACTTTTAAAACATGGGCCTTATTTCCAGTCTGAAATTGCCAAGATTCAGCTTCCGGCCTTTGGATCTTGGGTTTGTCTTTGTTTGCTAGACTGCAGGGTATATCTGCTCCTCAATTAATTACTCTAGGGATTCATGTAGTACCTCCAAAAGGACAGCCACTGTCCGTTTTAGGCTGCCAAACATAATTAAAATATCTATTGTAAATTATAGCCAGAGTTTATCTCTGCTGAGTTGGGCTTCTTTCCATAGAAGCTTTCGGTGAACTGGGTGCAGACGTCTTCTAATGAAATCTAAAGCTATTAAATATACTGTCCTCAATATTGCACTAACCCTGAATTTGGTGTGAGGAACAGGTTTTAGTCTGTCATTAGTTCCTTACTTTATCTTTCCCATCCACATTTATATCCCTTTTCATCCTCCTTATCATGTATTGTACATCTCACCTGGAGTAGCCTGGAAGAGGAAGACGAGAACAGCAAAGAGCAGGTAAAGGATCCTCATGTCTGAAGATTGGCTGGGAGCTGAGTTTCACTAGAGAGAAGAGACTCAAAGACCAGTTGAGACTGAAGTTTGTTAGATGAAGATAATGGAGTCCCTGTTTTTATAGGGCTCTGGGGATTAGGAAATGTTGATGCGTGGGTGACTTGTCAATAAATAACTGTGCCTAATCTTTTGCGGAGCTGGTTGATTACCTCTGTTATTGCAGATTTCACTGAAGTATGTGACCAAAATGTTGCAATCTGAAGTGTGAATTTCCATTAGCCTCGTCTATATGTTATATAACTTGAATAATGTCCAAGTCACACTGAGTTCTTTGTGTTCTCATGGCTTCTGTGGGTCTAATCCCATTAAACCATCAAGCTGGGCAAAATGTTTGTGCAAAATCATTTTTCCTCCAAAAATGCAGATTCAGGTCAGCTGGAACAATTGATCAATTTGAAACAATTTCAGCAAATTGTTTTGGTCAGAAATAGAAAAAAAAACAACTTTGGAAATGTCAAGACGATCGTTTCAGCATCTCCAAAATTAAACCTTTTAACTTTTCATTTTGGAAAGACATTTATTTTATGGAATTTCCTTCAATTTTATATAGTTTTATATATTTTTGTATAGTTGGGATTATGTTTTCCAGTATGCATTATTTTCTCCTATCAACATTGAATTTCATCTGCCATTTTCTCACCCAGTCACCGAGTTTAGTGAGATCCCTTTGTAACTCTTTGCAGTCAGCTTTGGCTCTAACTATCTTGAGTAATTTAGTATCATCTGCAAACTTCACCACCTCACTGTTTACCCCCATTTCCAGATTGTGATGGGGTAAACAAACCCCACACTGGGCCCAAAGGAGTGAGAAGGCAATACTGGATCCAGACAGCCCTGCTCCTCTGAGTCTGCTGAGCATGTTTCAACAGGAGCAGCAGGATAAATGGAGATCAGTAGCCCAGACAAAGAGGAGTAGACAGACTACAGGAGAGCAGAATCCTTCTCCGGAAAGCTAGGCAGAAGGTTGAGCCTAAGAGGTGACCACAGAATGGGTAAAACCCATAGTCAGTGCCTTCACTTGCCATCACCCTCTTTGAAAACCAGCAAGTCCTGCAGGGCCTTGCTCCTTTGGACTCTTTATTCGGTTGAGCCACCAACTGTTTGGACCATGCCCCAAAGTGTAGGGACCTACTGGTAGGGAGTAGCCCAGGGAAGTGAATTTAGACTTGTTGCAGGGACAAACTTGGCAGTGTTGCTTCCCACAGCACTCTGGGAAGGACCCAATGTAGAGGGAGGGCCTAGGTCCCCCTACCACACCCTGCGTAAGGGCCAAGGCCCAGATGAAGGTGGAAAGCCAAAGACTCCCAGCTTATGATCAGGAAAGGTACCTCTACCGCCCTGACAGAGAGGCAAGCAGTCAGAAGTGAGGTGCTCTCACCACTAGGCTGCCCAGCCCTTTGAGCCCCCTATCACACAGATCATTTATGAATATGTTGAACAGCAAAGGTTCCACTACAGATCTTTGGGGGACCCATCTATTTAACTCTCTCCACTGAGAAAACTGACCATATATTCTTACCTTATGCCTGTCTTTTAACAAGTTACTGATCTATGACAGAACCTTCCCTCCTATCCCATGACTGCTTATTTTGCTTAAGAGCCTTTGGTGTGAGACCTTGTCAAGGCTTTCTGAAAATCCAAGTACATTATAGTCACTGGATAACCTTTGTCCACATGATTGTTGACACCATCAAAGAAGTCTAATAGATTGGTGAGGCATGAAATCCCTTTATAAAAGTTGTGTAGTCTCTTCCTCAGTATATTGTGTTCATTTATGTGTCTGATAATTCTGTTTTTCACTATAGACTCAAGCAATTTGCCTGGTACTGAAGTTAGGTTTACCGACTGTAATTGCCAGGATCGCCTCTGGAGCCCTTTTTAAAAATTGGCATTACATTAGCTATCCTCCAATCATCAAGTAAAGAGTCTGATTTAAGCAATAGGTTACATTCCACAATTAGTAGTTCTGCAATTTCATATCTGAGTCCCTTCAGAACTCTTGGGTGAATACCATCTGGTCCTGGTGATTAATTACTGTTTAATTTATCGATTTGTTCAAAACCTCCTCTATTGGGGACAGTTCCTCAGATCTGACATCTAAAAAAAAGTGCCTCAGGTGTGGGAATCTCTCTCACATCCTCTGCAGTGAGGACTGATACAAACAATTCATTTAGGTTCTCTGCAATGACCTTGTCTTTCTTGAGTGAAGCTTTAGCTCTGTGATTGACCAGTGGCCCCACTGACTGGCAGGTTTCCTGCTTCTGGTGCACTTAAAAAAATTATTTGTTTTATGTCTTTATATAGTTGCTCTTCAAATTCTTTTTTGGCCTGTGTGACGTTACACCCCATATTCTTCATAGAAATATCATTATGATATGAAAATGGCATGACTAAGATATGTTTTATGCAAGAGAGGTCATATGAGGTATCATTTAAAAGGCTATGATCTACTGAATGTGTTTATCCAATTTGTATGCAGGTATCATTTTTGTATCCAAAGCTAGGAATATTGACCATGTATCTGTATTTCAAATGTGCTACTTTGGGTGACACCCACAACTAGCCCTTCAGGTACAACAATGAAAAAGCCAGACAGGGCTGATGGCCCATCAGCAAACACAATGGACTGTGAAAGAGCTTAGTCTTCATGTGGATGCTCCAAACAACCTGCAAGTAATGGCTGCTACGATCCTGCAGAGACATATGATTGAGTCACCTGGTACTAGACCCCACTTGGAATGCCAGTGTTTTTCCACTGGAAGGCAAAGGGTTCCCGCCATACACAAAAGCTATAAAAGGTAGGGGAGTGACATCATCGTGGTTCTCCTCTGCCTCCCCACCCAAAGATACACTGGGAAAGACCTGGAAACAAGAACTGAACTTGGGGGAGAAGATCTGAACCCAGGCTGGAAGGGTGTCCACCCTGTAAGCGAAAATACCTGAAGTTTCAAGCTGCAGGCCAGTGCAGCTGGCTTTCAAGAATCTCTGTAATCTGCCTGAGACAACATTTGGGATGAGAAATTACTATCTGTAGCCCAATTTCTTTAGTGTATTAAGATTATTCTGCATGTTTTGTTTTATTTCTTCAGTAATTTGCTTTGTTCTGTTTGCTATCTCTTATAATCACTTACAATCTACTCTTTCTAGTTAATAAACTTATTTTTGTTTATTCTGAAACCCCATTTGTGCAATTCATAATGGGGGGGGTGAAGAGGCTCCACAATGAGGGAGGGGGCAGATTTCACAATATACCTTTGGGTCTGCACTCCAAGGGAGGTGGGCACCTGAGTGCTGGGGCAAGTCCATTAAGATGAGTCTTCCCAGAGCTGATCTCAGTGTCTGTGTCTTTCTGCACCTGGGTGTGTCCCTGCCTGGGTGTGTGCTAGTGGAGGCAGAAGAGCCTGGCTCAGCAAGATGGGGTAAAAGGGGTCCCAGGCTGGCAGAACAGGCAGGCTCAGTGGTATCCCAGTACATCAGGTGGCACCTTAAAGGGGGGAAACCTGTCACAGCCTGACTAATTATACTTTAACATTTGACTTGCCAGAGTTTATGCTCCTTTCTATTTTCCTTACTAGGATGTGCCTTTCAATTTGTAAGGGATGCCTTTTTGCCTCTAATCACCTCTTGCATTCTGCTGTTTATCTATGGTGACTTTTATTTGTCCTCTTACTGTTTTTTTTTTTATTATTATTATTTGGGGTATACATTTAGTTTGAGCTTCTGTTATGGTGTTTTTAAAGTTTCCATGCAGCTTGCAGACATTTCACTTTTATGACTGTTCCTTTTAATTTCCATTTAACTAGCTTCCTCATTTTTGTGTAGTTCCCCTTTTTGAAGTTAAATGCTACTATGATGGGTTTCTTTGGCATCCCCCCTACCCCCTACCCATGTAATTACATTGTGGTTGCTATGACTGAGAAGTTCATCTATATTCACCTCTTAGCCCAGATCCTGTGTTCTACTTAGAACTAAATCAAGAATTGTGTCTTCCCTTGTGAGTTCCAGAACTAGCTACTCCAAGAAGCAGTCATTAATGGTTTCTAGAAATTTCACCTCAGCATTCCTTCCTGAGGTGACATGTACCCAGTCAATATGAGAATAGTTGAAATCTACCATTATTACTGTTTTCAGCCTTTGAAGCGTCTCTAATATCCCTGAGCATTTCACAATCACCGTC